AATATCCAAGCAATCCTGGAGAAGGAAGGCAGCCACGGGGAGCTGGCCCTGCCACGCCCCCCCCCCCCACAGCTGACCGGGAAAGAGAATCCCCGAAGCAAGAGCTGAGGATCCCAAGGGTGGCCGGGGCGGGGGACGGGAGTGTGCGTCCGGGGGCAAGCAGGGGTGGGCCGAGGGGCCTTCAGCCTGGCCTCCCTGCCGCTTCATGCAGACCACCGGGTCTCCCAGAGCCCTGCTGGGGCGGGGGGGCTGGGCCCAGAGACAACCTGCCACTACCCCACAGAGCAAGCGGGGCAGGCCCCCGAGGGGCTACGTACCAGGGTGTCTCCCGAGAGCACCTCCAGGAGAGAAATCAGGTTGTGTCCATCGCGGAGGTCTTCGTAGAGGTCGTTCACGTGGCGCTGGGCCTGCGTGGCCGAAGGAGAGAGTCAGAAGCAGGATGGAGGTGGGCCCGGGAAGCCAGCCCCCCCCCCGCCCTCCAAGCCCCTCTTTGAGGCGAGCCACCACCTCTGCCAACCAAAGAGGTGCCAGACAAACCGCGCTGGGGCTCCCCACCCCACACCCACCCGGATCACTGGGAAGAGTCGCCGACTGTGGCCAGACGCCACGGCCTCCTGGGACTCGGCGGGCCCACGGGACAGTCTGCCACCCACTCTGAGGCAGAGGGGCAGGCCTCGCGCAAGCCCAGTGGCCCAGGGCCAGCGTCCCCAGAGCACCCCACAGCCTCCCGGCCACCCTCCGCGGCCCCCCACAAGAGGCAGGTCCAGAGCAGAGACAGAAGGAAGGAGAAGAAACGCGCCCTTGACCCCGCAATGCCACCCGTGCTTGACCACGTACCTCTGCCCGCCAGTGCTGATGCCACCCGAGAGGAGAGAGAGAAGCAGGAAGAGAAAGACAGATTAGGAAGAGGAAGAGAGAGGCTCCAGAGCAAGCCCCGGGCACAGAGGGAGCTCAAGGAAGAGGCTGCCCGTGGGTGAACAAGCTCCCTGCCCCAAACATTCCCCCTAGCTATCAGACCCCCACAATTTGTGGCTCTCCTGCAAACAGCGGCTGCCTTCAACAGACAGATCTCTCTTCCACTCGCTCAGGGCTCTCCCTTCTGGCCAGCAACACAAGGCCTCCCGGATCTTCCCCAAGACCAGCCTCACGCAACGCCCCTGCGACCCACCCGAGGGCCCTTCCAGGGAGCTGCCCGTGATCGCGCCTGAAACCTCCTACATCTAAAACCTGAGCACGGCTGAGAAAGGGGCCATGGCTCAGTGGCACAGCGCCTGCTTGGCCAGGCAGAAGGCCCCGGGTTCAATCAATCCCCGGCAGCCTCCCTAAGCTAGAAGGACTGGGCAGCGGGTCATGCGGAAGACCTCAGCCGGAGGCCCCCTGGAGAGCCACTGGGCAGACAAGACTTGAGAGACCGATGAATGGCCTGACGCAGGATGCGACCTTTTCTGGTGCGTGTGTGCGTGCCTTCTCTACCGCGGAGTCAGGATGCTCAGCATCCTGGGCTGGGAATGGCTTACACTGAAAGTTTCAACACACAGGCTGGGCGTATGCCCCCAGCAGGTAATTTACCCCATAAAAACAGTCACCTTGGAAGAATTGGGGGCACTAGTAGAACAAATATAGTGACAAGCAATGCTCCCTCTAAGCTGTGGAGTCCCGTGAGCAAAAATTCTGCTTTCTGAGCTACTGGCATTGAAGTCGGCTCCTGCATAACTCAGTTTGCTCTGGACGTCCTTCCTGAGCGGAGACAAAAATCTGTGAGCCAGAGGCTACAAAACTGTGAGCCAGCTCACACTAGCTCAGCTTAGCGGGAACACTGGTCACAATGCTCACTCTTGGCTTACTTCCACCAACACAAAGCACGTACATTTGTATAACTCACAAACTATTCGAATACAACAATCCAGCGGCACCTTTAAGACCAACAAAATTTAGTTCTGTAGATGAGTACACACACAAAAGCTCATCCCCAGAATCAACCTTTGTTGGTCTTAAAGGTGCCGCTGGACTCAAACTTCGTTCTGTTGCTTCAGACCACCACGGCGGCCATAGATGGCCTTCCACTTCCCCGATTTTATCCTCACAACAGACAGATTTTATCCCAGGCCCCCTGAACAGGCAAGCGGGAAACCAGAGGAGGGCCCTGCCCCCCAGGTCTTAGACCATGCTGGCTGCTTGCAGGGTCAGGAACAGACCTCAGCAAGGAGGCGCCCCCTCCGGCTAGTGGGGCAGGGAGCTCAAGACAGCCCCGGGGAAGCAGGAGCAGCAGCGGGCAACTGGGCCTGCCACAGCAAAGGCCCAGCAAGGCGGGCAATGGTGGGATCAGACGACTGAAGCAAGCCATCAAACCCCCCCCACCCCTGCACAGGTACCCGGCTGCCAGGGTCCGAGAGGCACCCACAGAACGGTCGAAGAGACAGAGAGAGTGGGGGGGGGGGGGCCACAAGGTGAGATGGATGGGGGTGTGTGCTCCTGATACACAGAGGGGGAGGGGTCAGCTCCAAAGGCGTGGCCGCTCCCCAGACAAGGAGAGGCCTTTCCCGGGCAGCTGCCAGCGCCCCAAGCGAGCGGAGTCACAGGACAGAGGCTGGGGTGGGGGCAGCCCACGCCCAGGAATCCACGGCTGGCATAGCCCCGTGGCAAGTTGCTGGTCCAGCGGCTGGACACAAAGGGCCCATTCAGAACCGGGGCTTTTCCCACAGAAAGACGGAAATATTGGGGGGGGGGGGTTAAAAATCAGAGCCAAGCAGGAATTGTGGCTCACCGTAGCAGGGCCTTCACCCCCCTCCCCACCCAGGCCTTGGTCCAAAACAGTCTCCCCCCCACCCCAAGCCTCAGGGGTTCACAACGAAACGCCCCCCTCTCCCCCCCACACCACCGGGGGGGGGGGGGGCAGCGGCAATTACCTTGATAAGGTGCTTGTTGACCCATTTGGTGAAAGTTTTCTTCTGGACCCGATCCCGTTCGTCTGCAAGAGAGAAGCCAAGAGGCAGGCGTGAGCAGGAGGCCCTGCCCAGGAAGGAAAAGGAAACCGGCAGAGGGGCCGAGAGAGAGCCCGCAGTGACTCAACCCGCAGGGAACAGGAAGGAAGCCTTTCGGTGACTCAAACCACCCCCCACCGGGAGCCACTGCAGGCCGCATGGAAATCCCTGGCTTGCGGGGGCCCTGCACTGGCCAAACCTCTGTGCCTCCTCCAGGGGCACCAACATGGTTCCCATGTGACAGCCATCAGCCCGCCCCGGACCACAGGGCGGAGGGCACGGAGATAGGCCCACAAAGGTGCCACAGGAGGTGCCCCCTTGCCCGGAGCCCGCCAGGCCTCAGAATGGCCTCTGGATCCAACCCTCCCCGCCAGCCACCGGTGCTGCAACAGACACCCTTCACCCGCCGCTGGTCCCGTCGACGCAGGAAACGCGCAGAAGCACACCCACTTCACCCTACCGCCCAATGACCCCTGGGGGGGATGGGGAAGGAGCCCCACCCACCCAC